AGTAGGAGGAACTCTTGAAGACATAGGGGTAGGCAAAGAGTTCATGAACAAAAATCAAATCACACAGGAAACACTTGAAAGAATTAACAACTGGGGCCACCTCTTATTGAGAAGTATAATTGTATTATACCTTTCTATTTGTATTTCTTCTTTTGAGTTCTTATACTAGGGAAACTATATGATATTTACACATGTATGTTTGGTTTATTTCACTTATGAGTGTATCTTCAAGTGGCATCCACTTAAATATAAAGGCTTCGAGTATATCATTCTTTATAGCTGAGTAATACTCCATTGTATAAAAAATACCACATCTTTTTCATCCATTCTTCAATGGATGGGTATCTTGGTTGTTTCAAGATTTGGCTATCACAAATTATGCCTCTATAAACATAGGCCCACATATATTACTATGATATGATGTTTTCAGATCCTCTGGGAAAATTCCCAGTAGAGGAATAGCTGGTTTAAATGGGATTTCCAGTCCCAGTTTTCTAAGGAGTCTGCACACTGATTTCCATAATGGTTGCACCAGTCTACATTCCCACCATCAGTGGAGAAGGGTTCCCTTTTCCCCACAGCCTCTCCAACATTTGTTGTTGGTTGATTTCTTTTTGATAGCCATTCTTTCTGGGGTGAGATGTTATCTCAATGTTTTTTTAATTTGCATTTCACAGATGGCTAGTGATGTGGAGCATTTTTTCTTATATTTATTCACTCTTTTAATTTCATCCTCTGAGAAGTGTGCTGATCTTGGATGCCCATTTCTGGACTGGGTCTTTAAATTTTGGGGCCCTAGTGTTTTTTAGTTCTTTATAAATTCTAGAGAGCAGACCTTTGTCTGAGTAAGTTTATTAATTAAGATTTTTTCTAAATTTGTGGGTTGCCTTTTCACTTTGTTGGTAATTTCTTTTGACTTGCAAAAACTTCTCAATAAGAGGTGGTCCCAGTTGTTAATTCTGCTCTGAGTTCCTCTATATCTTTCTGCTGTTGCTTATTTACTTTTGATGCTATTAATTCATACATTTCATCTGAGCTAGTGTCCTCTTCACTTGTTCTGGGTGGGCATTGGGTTTCCTCCATATTTTTCTACATTTGATTTTTTACTGCAGATGCTATTAATTCAGGGATTTCTTTTTTTATTTCTGATTTGAGTTCCGCTATACCTTTTTGCAGTTGTTTCTTTATTTTAGAAGCTCTTGATTTATTGATTTTAGCTGTGTGATTCCCAATTTGTTCTGTGCTAGTGTCCTCTGCATTTGTTATGGATGGGCTTGGAGTCCGAGATAGCATTGTCTTCTCACCTTTGTTGTAGAGCTTTGGAGCAGTTATAACCTTAGCACCTACTGGAATTCAGGTGCAGATCTACAAAGTTTGAACTTATCCAGCTGTGCCTGGCTTGGGTCTGGCTGCTGCGCTCGGCTCCTTCCTGCTGCAGCCGTTGGGAGTGAACCTGCTGTGCCCCTCTGGCAAGATGTTCTGCTCCTGGACTAGCTGCGTGGTTCTGTCTCCTACTCTTTATGCAGGGACTGTAATTGCAGAGTTTCACCCCAGGCCTGTATGCCAGGCCTGAGCTGAGTCTGAAGGGGACAAGATGGAGTAGTAGGGAGAGGAAGCTCTCCCACACACTCACCGGACCTGGGCTAGGGCTGAATCTGGGGGTCCTGAGAACGTGGCAGAAGTTCTCACTCACTGGGCAGGCATGGAATGGGGGGCTCTGGGGAGTTGGGGGGGTCCCAAGGGTGCGGAAGTGGGTCTCACTCACGATGCGCTTGGGTTTGGACCGACAGGTCCCGCCGAGCAGTGATTCTCAATCGGAGTGAGTTTGCTCCTGGGTGACATTTGGCAACTGTGGCCATTGCTACTGGGATCCAAGGGCAGAGATCAGGGATGCTCCTAGTTATCCTGCAGTGTTCAATCAGACACCCATGACAAAGAATTGTGCAGCTCAGAATGTCACTAATGCTGGAGAAGTGAAATGGTGTTCTATAGCCATAAAGACCACTCAGAACAAGTGTTTATTAAGCATCCACTCTCTTGTATCTAGTGCTTTACGAAGGTAAATATGAAAGTGTGAGTTGCAAACCAGCATCATGCACTGAGGCTACTGTAGTGTATGGAAAAAGTATTGAGGGTGATGCTTCATCATGTACTGTATAGATTGAAATCACCCAGCGATAAATGTCAGAATGAATATCTTTCTTCTGCTTATGTCTTTTTCTTTGCAGAAATCTTCGGTGCAATTTACTCACAGAATTGAGCTCTGGAACATTTCAAGCCTGGCACGGGATACAGTTTTTATACCAAGTGTAAGTGAAATAGATGTTAAACACATGGACAAACAAAAACTGTGAAGACAAAATCTTCGTGTTAACTTCATGTAGTTATTGCTTAGCTGGGTCTAAGTCCTGCGTGAACTCTAAAAAGTATCTCAAGATTCATTGATTATTTTTAGATGAGATTGGGTGCATTCAAGGTGGTATGACCAAAGGCTTTAGTCATATTTTCAAATGAGGAAGCTAAGGTGCAAAGAGGCCAAGAGACTTGACTTGTATATGATTTTTTTTGTGACAAGGTCTTGATATGTAGTCCAGGCTGGCCATGTATTCCCTGTGTACCCCAGGCTGACCTCAAACTCATGACATTTCTCCTGCCTCAACCTCTTCAGTGCTGGGATTATCAGTATGTGCGACCATGCCTGGGTTGACCTGTGTAACTTCTAGGTGGCCTGCTCTGCATTCCCAGGCCCTGCTCTTTGACATGGGCAGTACAAGGCCTGGCACAGGTAACACTCAAATTAGCACTGTTGGGAGTTCAACGCTGCTGTCCTAACTTGTGAGTGGTTCTTGAAATTCTCCTTGTGAGCTTAACTCATTCTCCAAGGAGCAAAAGGTTCAAGTGCTTTCTCAGTGCCGGAATATTTCACATGAGAAAGCAGAAAGAATTCCTGAACGCCTGCTGCCAAGCAGTTTCTCTCTGCCTGGAATACTTTTCAGAAAGCCTTGGCTTCTGGAGTTATGAATTAACTTTTGGCAATAAGAATCTTTGAGACGTGCAACAGATGATGTTTATGTCAAGTTATAGTGTGAAAAATATACATGAAAAACTGTTGCTCTAGCCCAGCGGTGGCAAACCTACGCCACATGTGCTGCAGCAGCCGTTTGATATTAAAAACTCTAAAAGGTTCACTATCATCGCTCCGGCCTAACTCCATGTACTTTCTCTTTTGCTACCTTCAATAAGAAGTGTGGGCTTTATTCTCTTTCTTTTTTTAATTTTTAAAATACTTTTATTGAGAAACAAGTCTCAATGAGACAGTTTCAAAACCAATTACTATGGCACTTACATGTGTTTTTGTCTTACCTTTTGTGGACTAAAAATTAAATGAAAAGGTGCAAAAAATAAATCCTCTTTTGCAACCCAGAACTCATTGTTTGGTATGAGTTTTGATACATTAAAGAAGGAATATTACTGCTAGGTGCAATGATTACAGATCTGTGATCTTGAGGCTGATGCAAGAGGAATTAAGTTTGGACTGTATAGTGAGATTGCCTCAAGAAAATAAAACTAAATAATTAATGATTACCTATGCAAATAAAAGTGATGATGTTCATTCTGAAAAAAAAAACCAATTACTAGCACAGTTTCAATAATTAATACATTGCATGTTGTTGTCTTAGTGGTTATTCATTGTACAAGGTGAAGACATGATATCCTGTCCACAAACACTATTAGAGCAAATCTCTCTATTCAGTGATCCAAGAGAATGCAGCTGTGTATCTATCTTAACTATTTTGAACATAGAGACACAAAATGGTCATTCATTTCTATCTCCGTTTTTTGTTTAGTTTTGTCAGAGAAGGGTATTCCATTGTCAATTAAATATTGTAGGTGCTTGAATTCAGCAGCTACAATATTATTCAGTCCATAATAGTAGTGGGTTTTCCATAAGACTGGCAATGACAGAAGTTGTTGACTTGGCTGGGGGGATGGTTCAGTGTTTATTCTCTTTCAGTTGAAAACTTTGATGTTTAATGGCCTGAAGGAGATTTGAGACTCAAGATGAAACTTCCCCTCTCCTCCTAGTTTGGGAAACCCTGTCCACCTGTCTTGTGTGTCCGAAGTCCAGAGTTACAGAGTTTATTTTGAAATCCCTGGAGGGAGGTTTAGGATGCACCTGCAGTTGGTTGACTTGACCTGCATCCTCAACTGTAATGACCTCCTCTCTCCCTTCATCAGTTGCTGATACCCAACTTGGGAGGAAGAACCCTGAAGGTTTGCTTTTGGTGAAAAGTGGGGATGGGTGATAGCTATAAAGGATTCATGGTGGAGGAGACAGCCACTTGCTGTAATTGGTTTTAAGGTTGATCATAACAGAAAGGCCGTTGCTTCCTGGGCATGAGAAAGTGAGAGCTAACTGTTGTTGGACGTTCATACTCGTCATTATCTGGATGGAGCTGTGCCTCGCAAACTATGTTATAGTGACATGGGTAGATTTGCACAATGAGCCACATGTGGCATGTCACTGTAGTTCCAGTTACTCCAGAGGCGAAGGCAGGATGATCGTTGAAGCTCTCAAGTTTGGGGCCAGCCTGGGCTGCTTATAGAGGCTTTATCTTCCCTGAAAAAGTAGAGAAAATATTGACAACAGTGGTCCTAAACCACCAAGTGTGTGTATGGGACCAGGTGCCTTTGCTTTGAGTCAAATCTTTCTAATAAACAATGCTATTTTAACACTTGCATTGGTAAGATAGAAACCTGTTGTAGCTCTTTCCAAAGGGAAGTTGCCAGGTTGAGATGCCAGTAATTCTATGACCAACCTGACTCAGTCTAGGGCTGATTAGAAGGCGAAATATTATTTTTCTCCTGGTGCTGCAAAGGTTTGCACAAATGCTTCAGCCAAGGTGGGTGTGTCATGACCTGAGTGGAGTGTAAGTCCTAGGGCCCCTCACTTGCACAGGCCCCTTTGGATGGCATGGGTGGGGCCCTAGCAGCTTCTTTTATTTTTTATTTTTTTAATTGAGAAATAAATATGAATGAGACAGTTTCACAGCTGATTAATAGGACAGTTTTGATAATGAATGCATTGTACATTGTTATCTTCTTAGTGGTTATCCATAGTACAAGAAGCAGACAGGATATTCTGTCCAAACACTGTTAGTATACCCCTTTCTTCTCATTGAATTAAGCAAAAATAACTGTAAATTTATTCTATTTTGTATATATAAATACAAAATGATCTTTCCTCTGTATCCTTTTTTTATTGTCTGTCAGAGGTGACTATTCTATTGTCATCTAAATACTATAGGTGTTTGAATTCAACTAAACAATCTAACACTGTCTAGCAGTCTATAATATTAGTGGGTTATCCTCAGAACCTAGCAACTTCTGTATGCATACATTTTGCATGCTTTTTCATTAGAAGGCACTTTGCAAATTTTATAAGATGTAGGCTCCTCAAAGTCTGGATTTGCCCCTTGGTTCCAGGTAATTACAACCCAGTTAATCTCTTAGATAAAGCCTCTGTGTTACTGATGAACCCTGACCCAGCTGGTTAGCAGTGGGGTGGGATCAGTATGTTTTGACTCTGAAATTCATTTCTAAGACATCCCAGGAGCTCATTAGTAAGGTGCTACTCTTTGGCAGTACTAATCATATCTCAGATAAAATCAGAAATGAAATATATTATGGAAAACTGGCAGCGCTTTATATTTCTAAATGTTAAGTATACTTTTTCCCTTTGAGTTGCAAGTGTTTCTTCATTCTCCTACGTAGGACCAGAATGATGACTTCTTTTGTAAAATTCTCTTAGTCACTTCATTAGTTCTAACAATGCAGGCCCCATTCCTGTAGACACTGTAGTGACTTTATCAGGCAGAAAACCCTCACCCTGTTCATACAGAGTACATTCATGGACTGGTTTCTGTACGGTACATCGATATTATGCCAACACCATAGGCACTAAGAAAGAATAAGGGAACACTCAGATCTGTCCCTGTTGAAGTATTGTGCCATACTAGAATGTTCATGAGGTCAGCGTGGGCACATTAAAGGGACATGGCGCCGTGGCCCTGAGGGCCTCCCCTCCTGCAGCCCACTCGCCTCAGTCTCCTCGGACGGCTGTAGGCGCACAGAGGCTCGCTCTCCTCAGTACGTGCTCTCCACGTCAGTCCTGGGGCCCCGGCAGCATCTTCTCAGCCTCACAGGCAGACACATGAAAGATGGAGAGAGCAGCTCAGGTCATCCTTGGGGGTGACGTAGTCTGGCTATTTGGCTTGTAAAGCTTCAGAAGTCTTGGCTGTCACATCCCGCAACCGTTATACCTTCCTTCCTCCTGCAGCATTTTATCCCTGCTCCCACAGGCCATTTTCTCTGCTCTTGGAAGCTGGATAGTTCTTCCTCTTCCTCTCACGTTTCTTTAGTGCTACTTTTATCAGGTGTTTGCTATGGTTCTAGGCAATATGTTAAGTATATATGCCAATGAGGTAAGCTGCCGGAAGCGCTGAGACTGGTGCTAGGAGGTGGCAAATACCCAAATTCATTACTTCATTTTCATTTTTTCCAACGATTCTTGCAATGTTATTATTACTCCCTCTAGTTTGAAGGTGAGGAAGTTGGGACTGGGAAGCCTTGGAGAACTCTTTCAAATTTCAGGATTGCTCCTAAGCTTTGCTCACAGTTTTCTGTGTAGCTTTTGTTCCCTTGTACTAGAAGCTGATGGATAATAATAATTTGCATTTCCATGTACTGTATTTTCAAGTTGCTTTCTAACTTCATTGCAACCTTTGGAACAGAAACGTCCGCATGTTGTCTAGGAATTTGACACCTGTAGAGTTCCTGGCCTGACCATGACAGTTCTGGGCATCTGCATGATTCCTGCTTATTGGCCGGTGTAGATGGGGCCTCATGTCTATACATTCTTTGTGTTGCTTTCTCTTTCGGAGAGTGGTATTGAAGTCTCCAGCTACTGTTGTTGTATTGTCTAGTTCTTCAATTATATCACCTTGTATTTTGTACATTTTGGGGTTCTGTTGATATACAGATTAAGCCTTGTTTGTTTGTTGTTTGTTTTTGAGATAGGGGCTCACTGTGTAGTTCAGGCTGGCCTTAAACTCATAGCAGTCCTCCTGCCTCAGCCTCCCAAATGCAAGGATTACACATGTGCACCACCATGCCTAGCTTTGATTCTTTTTTTTTTTTATTGATATTCTCTAATGAGGTATCTTTTTCATATTTTACTTTAGTTTTTTTTTTGTCTACTATGCATTTTTTATATGTATCTTTCTGACTATTTTGATTTGGAATGTTTTGTTTTCGTTTGAGATAAGTTCTTGCTATATACCCTAGGCTGGTCTCCCAACTCAGTGTATAGCCCAGGCTAGCCTCGAACTCATGAAGGTCTGCCTGCTTCAGCTTCTCAAGGGTTGTGATCACAAGTGTGTGCCACCACTTTGAATTTATTTTATTGATTTTTATTTTATTTTTATTGATTGAAATCTTTGTCTAGTAAGCCCAAGGTCTGGGCTTCTTCAAGGCACGTTTCTTCTGATTTCTCCCCCTAACCTCTGCTTAAGGGCTGTAAGTTATTTCCTTGTACCTCATAAATTTTGGTTGAAAATTGGACATTTTGAACACTATACTGGAGCAAAGTGGAGATGAGGTCCCTGACCCCAAGGCTTGGTGATACTGCTGCTTGTAGTTCTGTTTGTGGAACTCTCTGAACTAATGGCGGAATTAGTATTCTTGTCATCTTGGCTACTGAAGTCTCTACTTGTTTAACTCAGTGGTCAGCTCATAGAGCTGAGAATTCCTTTAGCGCTTGGAATTGTCTCCCAAATCTGCCCAGGGGCCGTGCGTGCCTGCTAGGTGTGTCGTCACTACTGTACATTAGCTTTCACTTCCTGTTTGTGCAGAACTTCAAGATCCGCCAGGAGTGAGAGCTCAGGGTCTTACCGGGTTTTCTTCTGCCTGTGTGTTCAGATTCCCTCAAGCTTTGGCTTCCGATTCCAGACATGTCTCAGGGTCCTCCACTTTCTCAGGGCTACGCTGGAGCATCCCAGAGCTCCAATAGTAGGAAAGCTCCTCAGCTTTCCTACTAGGCTTTTTTGGCTCAGGTATTTTTTGTTCCTAGCTTGTTATCCATTCATTGTTGCATGCAGGGTGAGAGTCAAAACTTGGCTGATGATGGTTTTCCCGAAGCACCTTCTGGGGACGGCTAGCATGAGGCAGCTCAGTCAGGGCCCTACAGATAAGCCTTTCAAGTGTGGGCTTCCTAGACGCAGCTGATCCTCTAGCAGGAAGGGGGTCCATTCCCTTTCTGCTCCTCTCGTCCTCGCATAGGTCCTCCCAAGGCAGCCACGGAGCTGCAGTGAGGATTCGGTTAAAATCCTGTCACTGTTCTTACAAAAATTCAACTGTTTTTCCTTAAAAAAAGGAAAATCTTCCCTGGGTTGCTGCATTCCTTCAGTCGAGTCGCCAACATCCTGAAAGTTGATTGTGACCGTTTTTGTTGTTGCTTCTAGGCCGAGATGGCTTTGCAGATGTCCTCACTCCGCCCTTTTCACCAGTGTCACCCACAATGTGATTTTACATTTCTAAGATCTCTGTGACTACAATCTCATAAAGCTTTTACTCATGAGAAGAGATTAAGGGTAGAGAATTAGAAGGCAGACTGTAATCCCCATAGAGGCCTTCCCAGGTGAGCAGATGGTTAAAAAGGTATTTTTTTAATCCAGTCCTCTGAAATGAAGGAAGTGAAACAGCATTTTAAACTTCTTTTCTTTATTATTATTATTATTTTTTTTTAATTAAAAAAAATTTTCTGGCCAGTTCAGCCTGCCCTGAGGGCGGGGCTGGTGCGGCATGTGGTGCCAGGGATCGAACTGTGGTCCCCTGGCCCTGCATAAACTTGCCTACGCAGGTGCTTTCCACTGCTGAGCTGTCTCACGGCCCTTAAACTTCTTAACATAGGTTAAACACAGACTTGGGTGTCAGAAGTAATTTCAGTTTGGCGTCTTACTAGCTTGGCTACTCAGGAAGTGATATATAACCTCTCTATTCCTCAGTTTCCTCACTTGTCAAATGGAGTAATTATAATATCTACCACTTACGGTTATTATTAGGGTGCATTGTAGAATTCTGAACATAAATGCCTGGCAGCCAATAGCCATTAGCTGCAATAATCGGTGTTCTTAATATATTTTGTGGAATTACTAGTATTTCCTGAATAGATTAAGCCTCAACGGAGATCTTCCTTTCCTCTTATTTCTTTTGTTGTTCTTGTTTGTTTATTGTAAAGAATTCAAAACAAATTATATTCCAGCATGTTGGGGTAAAAACATGCACATAGCTAGGCATAGTAGCATGCGCCTGTAGTCCTAGCACCTTGCAAGGCTAAAGGCAGGAGGATCACAAGTTTGATCCCAGCCTGGGTAAATTATCAACTTAGAGAGACTTTGTCTCAAAATATGAAATAAAAATGGCAGGGGATATAGCTCAATGCAAAGGCTCTGGGCTTAATCCCTGTGTTTGTAGTCTCAGCCACATATGAAGCCGAGGGAGTAATATTGTTTGACTCTAGGAATTTGAGGCTAGTGTAGGCAAAACTATCCCCTAAACAGGTATGTGTGTGTGTGTGTGTGTGTGTGTGTGTGTGTGTGTGTGTACATATTCATTTCATTGATATGAAAAGAATATTTTTTTTTTTTGGAACTGGGGATTGAACACAGGCCCTTGTGTTTGCCAGGCAAGCGCTTAAAGAATATTTTTATATTTTCAAAAAACATGAAATTCTAGTCAATGTCAGACATGACCATAATACTGTACAGGAATACAGATTAGAGCAGTAATGGTAATATGGTTTTAACTACTTCCTCCTTGTTATGGTTTCTATCCGGATGTCCCCCAAAGCCTCCTTCAGTCACACTTGTGGCTTTGGGGAGGTGATTGGATCATGGGGTGGTACAGCTGAGGTTCAGCTTGGAAGCGGCGGTCCCAGGGGCATGGCCTGGATAGGTCGGCTTCCTCCCTGGCTCTGTGCTCACTCCCTGCGCTTCCTCACTGCCAGGCTGTGAGCATCTCTCCTTCCCGCAGGCCTTCCTGCCTGGGTGCTATGCACCGAGCTGTGGGCCCACTTGCAGGTGTCGGGTATTGCGGCTTAGTCACAGGGAATGTTAGTCAGACCCTCCTCTTAGATTTTTCTTTTTCTTTGGCTCAAAACCATGGAATTGCTCTTTAGAGAAACAGTACCTTTCATATCTCAATAAAAGTCTTACTCCAATACAAAAAACAAAAACAAAAACAAAAACAGACAAACAAAAACCATGCAATTGGGGCCTCCACATTTTCTTTCTTTTTTTTTCCTTTTGAATCATGGTCTTACTATGTAATTTCAGCTGAGCTTGAATTTACTATGTAGCTGGCCTCAGACTTCCTGTCTCAGCCTCCTGAATGCTGGGATTACAGATGTGCACCACCAGGCCTGGCACATTTTTTTTCACATTTTTTTTCTTAGTGAATTTTACCATGACTTTTTTTTTTTTTTTTTTTTTTTAAATTTCTAAAGATGAAAGACAAGCACCTTGGGCTGGCCAGAGAGCTCAGCGGATGAAAGCACCTGCTTAGGCAGAGCGTAGTGGCCGGGGTTTGATCCCTGTTGTGCTGTGTTGGCCCCATCCCCTGGGGCATGCTGAGACAGCGACTGGGATTAGGCTTTGTTGCACATGCCTGTAATCCCAATGCTTGGGAGGCTGAAAACAGGAGGACCATTACGAGTCCGATCTACGTAGTGAGACCCTGTAGGCCCTGTACTAAATTTTTTTAAAAAGGAAGAAACAAACAAAGAAAGAAAAACAAGCACCCTGAATTGTGAAGGATACTAATATGAAATTTCCTGCAATGTCACAGTTTCTTATCACAGCAGTCACTTTTAGAGTTTTGCTCTTTCATATGTTTTTTAAATCCATGTTATTCTATATTTTTGCCTCCCTCTTTCTCGATTCCACCTTATCTTTTAAAGATCTACTTAGTCCACAAAGGAAGAGCACTTTCTGGATTCTAAGGGTTATCATAGGTAGTCCTAGAAAATGAATTTTTAACCTATAATTCCATATCCTCTCAAATACATAAACATTTCATCTAATCTTATGCATATTGAAAATACAAATTTTAATACCATTGCATTTTTTAGAATTCTCAATCATAATCCTCTGAGGACTATTGAAGATTCGTCTCTTTTTAAATTGCCAGCATTAAAATATCTGTAAGTACTGTATTCCAGCAATTGTGTAAGTCATGATACAAATTGTTTTTCTTGCTTCTTCCATCAGAGATTAGGTATTGTACTTTGGTTCTAAAAGTCATAATTTTAATTTTAATCAGGCTATTGATAAAAGTTATTAGAAAAGAAAATAATTAAAAGGAGATGTATAATGGGTAACATCAGGGATAGGAGCAGAGTTGAGGAACACAGTAGAAGTGGAGCCTGTCAAAGGAGGTAGGAACATCATGTAGCCCAGAGAGTACAGTGGTATTATTAAAAATAAAAAAAAACAACCACCATGGGCTGGTGAGATAGCTCAGCGGTCTAATGGCCTGCATGGCAGGCACAAGGATGATCCCCAGTACCACGTGCCATGCTGGGCCCCCTTGCTTGCCCCTCATTGTGCTGACCACCAAAACTGGGTGTGGTGGCACATGCGTGTAATCTCAGTGCTGGGGAAGCTGAAACAGGAGGTTCACTATGAGTCCGAGCTGCTAGTGAGACCCTGTACTAAATAAATAAAAGATTAAAAAAAAAAAAAAACACACACACACAGAGGTGACTGTAATATAAAAATGAGAAATAAGATGATTTGAAAAAAGGTATGAGCTCTACTGTGTAATGCCAAAGTCATTAATCTTTTTCTAAAGATTTCTTCATTTATTTATTTGGTACAGGGTCTCGCTATGCAGCTTGGACTCTAGTGATCCTCCTGTCTCAGCCTCCCCAGCGCTGGGATTACAGGCCTACACCACCATTCCCAGTGTGAGTGGCCAGCTCAGTGTGGGGCAGCACGGCATGCAGTACGGGGGATCGAACCTTGGTCCTTGTGCTTGCCGAGCAGACGCTCAGATCAGCAAGCTATCTCCCTGGCCCACAAAGTCATAAATTTGATGATGCAAATGTTAAACTTGCATTTCTTCATGAAGAGCTCTCTGGGGTTATATTTTATCATAAAGTAAACTATGTGTTGGCTTGTTAAGAAGGCAGAATGGACAAGAAAATCACATTTTGTTGAACCTGCTTAAGTACAGAACATTTGTATTGGGATTCCTCGTGACCCTCTGAACTTTCTTTTCAGAGACTTGGGACAAACACATGTGCCAGTAACAGCCCTGGAGAACAGCGTCACAATGGCTCTGGAGTTGGAAACACTGTAAGTTCTTTTGTTTTTCTTAGGTTTATTGGACGAAGGTGTTTGGGTAGCTTTTCCTTATTGCTGTTTTGGCTTGTGAGCACAGATGTGTATTCCATCATGATCCCATTCCTTATAGGGGGTCGGTAAGTGTGCACAGTGCGTCTCAGTCCTTTGTGGCATCTTGCTGTCCCCTCCCAGCCCCTCCGCCCATCTTTTGTTGTGTTATTGTTGTTGTTTTGGTGCATGATCTCAAAACCTAATATCTACATTCGTTGTGTGGACTCGGTGCGTGTGTATGCCCGCCCCGACTGCTCTGTCTTACCCCTTATTCCTTCCCTGCCCTCTCCATTCCTGATCCCCTTCCTCTCTGAGAACATGCTGTCTCTCTTCCTCCTACTGTCTACCTTTTATTTCACTCTTTCTTTAAACTCTGGGTTCCTCCTATAAGGAAAGCAATGTGATATTTAAGCTTCTGTGTCTGATTTCTTTCTTTCTTTCTTTCTTTCTTTCTTTCTTTCTTTCTTTCTTTCTTCAAGCATTAAAATGTCCTTTTTTATTTTATGGAAAAAGTTATAAATTTTCATAAAAATAATAAAATAGCAATAGATATACTACTTTGTAAATTGTTACCTTCAAAGTAGCTACTCAAGAATACAAAATATGGGCATAAACATTCTCCAAACAGCATTAGCACAAAAGTTTCTTTTTTTTTCCGTGAACTAAGAGACACTAGTAGTACAATTATCTTGACCTTGTCCCCTTCCTCCTCCCTTTCCCCCATCCTAGCTCTTCTGTCCTCTTAACAGTTTCTTCCCATTTTGCAATATCTGCTGTACATTGTGGTACTTATTTATCTTTCAGTTTCTCATACCAGGAGCAAAATATGTTGTTTACACATGTGAGTCTGATGTATTTCCTTATGAATATGGTCTCCAGTTGCATCTATTTAGCTATAAAAGCCTGGAGCTCATCTTTCTTTGTGGTTTGAGTCATACTCCTTTGTATAAAAACATTCATCTATTTTATCTATTCCGGGGTTGATGGGCATTTGGGTTGTTTCCAAGATTTGGCTGTTAGCAGTGGTGCTGCTGGGCTGGGGAGATGGCTCAGCGACCTAAGCACCTGCCTGCCAAGTGCAAGGTCCCAAGTTTGATCCCTGGTACTGCCTGCCGGAGCCCCAGGTGTGCTATGCTGGCCCTGAAAGCGGGCGTGGTGGTGCACGCCTATAATCCCAGCGCTGGGGAGGCTGAAACAGAAGGATCGCTAGAGTCCAAGCTGCATATTGGGACCCCGTACCAAATTAAAAAAGAAAAAAGGACCTTAACCTATCCAAAGAATTATAAATCCTGTCATGTGAGTTTTCATCAGTTGTTAGAGTGAAAGCAGGGACAACAGAAACCATTACAATACAGTTATTTTTTTTCTTTCTCTTTTCTCTTTGTCCTCTTGTCTATTAAATTTTTTTTTAATTTTTTTTTATTTATTATTTGAGAGAGAGAGAGAGAGAGAGAGAGAGAGAGAGAGAGAGAGAGAGTATGGTGTGTGTGTGGCCAGCTCAGCCCACCAGGGGGCGGGGCCGGCTGGCATGTGGTGCTGGGGGATTGAACCGCGGTCCCTGATGCCTTGCCAAGCTTGTTCTAAGTAGGTGCTTTAGACCACTGAGCCATCTCTCCAGCCCTCTATTAAATTTTTGATACAGGGAAACTGTCTGATGTACAAACTTGTATGTCTGATGTACTGTGTTTAACATTATCATCTGAAGGTGCACCCGTTTTCTTACAAAGGCCTCAAGTTTACCTTTTTTTGTGCAGAGTAGTACTCCGTGGTGGACAGGTCCCACGTTGTATGTGTCCATTCATCTGCTGATGGACCTAGAGGCTGACCTCAAGATTTAGCTGTTATGAATTGTGCTGCTGCAAACATAGGTACAAGTAGACTGCTGTGGTATGGGCTATGATTTTTTTTTTTTTTAACTTCTGGGTGTAGAGTTGATTGCACTATAGTTTATAGTATTTCTTTACTAGCTAATGGTGTTGAGTGTCAGAGTAAAGATATCTCTTGTTTTTTTTTTTTTTAGTACTAGGGCTTTCTTACTTGGGTAGGCCCCTTTCCCCAACTCACACACTGTTCTGATGTTGAAACAAGTTCTCACCAAATAACTAAGTTACCTAGACTGGGCTTGAACGTGCAAATCTGCCTCAGCCTCCCCGAGTGCTGGGGTTCTAGCCATGTGCCATCACTTTGGTTTATATAAAATGCTCCTAAAACTGTGTGCTAGTGCGTCTGTAATCCTCATCCTTTTGAATGCTTCCATTGTCCAAATTTGGCCAATTCAATCTAACACAATATGGATAAAAAATAAGCTGTTTTTATGCTAGGAATAATGCCCAGCATTTAGCACTCCTAACAGGAACTGGGAAAGGGACCCCAGACAATGGAGGCTGACTTGGACTCTTGGAAGTTGGCCTTCTTCCTGTGCACTCCAACCCAGAGCATGACTTAGGCTGAAAGGAGAAGCTTCTGATTGCAGGGACACCTTGCTGTCACTCAGTGCTTGTGGGGGTCCAGCCCTCACAGAGGGGATCAGGATAGAGGGAGGACGGAATGAAAAGAAAGAAAGGACGGGGTCAGGAGGTCTGGACTGCTGGTCCACCAAATGGGTTTATTCTGCTTCAGGCTTGTATGCAGAAGATCTCGGTCCTGTGCCCAACATCTGTCCCAGTTAACTAACTCTAAGCCTTCTCTGGGACCAGAGTAGTGTTCCAGGGCCAAGCTGATGAACAGAAGACTCTGAGCCCACCACTGGGCCCATTGCCCGGACTGCTCGATAAGGAAGCTGGGCACCTTGCCGCACTCTACTCCCCATCAGGCAGGCTCTTCAGCCAGGTCAAGCCTTTCCTTCTGGGCTCCTACAAGTGCTAGTCTCTGTTACACTTATTTCGGGCCCACCACATGCGCTGCTGAGTCTACCCCCCGGGGTAATCTCTCTGCCTCTTATTATTCGTAATGTTCACGTGTTCCTCCCAGCTGCCCAGAGCTGGCCTCGAGAACTCCTTGCACAGCCCTGCAGCGCCCTTGTCCTGCCTCCCCCAGCATTCAAGGAAGCTCCTCCCACTGACTCGGATCTCTGTGTTTCTGTCTGCAGGATCTTGCCGAGCCACATGGTCTGCTGCCTCTGCCACTTTGAGAAGGATATTGAGGTTGTCTGCAAGACAGTCAAGCTGCGCTGTGACCGCGCGTGTCTGACCAATGCCACGCAGTGTTGTGAGTCTCGGCTGCCTGATGATAAATGTTTTTCCTTTTTAATTCTTAACTAATGATGAGAACATTTTAAACTAACAATATAAAATTTTACTTTTATTCCTTCTTCAAAGATAAGTTCGCTAAATTTCTGACCTGCTCCTTTGTGGAGAGGCAGGCTTTCAGCACTGTGTGATGCTCTCACACAACCCTCCCTTATGCGTAAGGACAGCGAGAAAGGGCCGGAAGGGGCGGGAACACCGAACACCGTTCTTGGCCGCACACCATGGACTGTGCTCTTTGTTTGGTGTTTTGCTTCCAATGAAAACTCAATCGGGGGCTGGGGAGATAGCTCAGTTGAATAAGCGCTTGCCTGGCAAGTGCAAGGGCCTGAGTTCAATCTCTGGTTCCGGAAAAAAAAAAAGAAAAGAAAACTCAATCCATGAAGTACAATGCAGCTTGTAAGTGGGTTTGTCATAAAGTCAGTCTCAATTTTCCTCAGCTTCAGGGCAAGTGTAGGTCAGTTTCATCTTGTTTTTGCAATTGTTTAAGAGTTTTAAGTGATTTTATTTTATTGCGGGCACCAGAACTACTTCTTCTTTTTTTTTTTTTTTTTTATGAACAGAATATATTTATTGAGGGAAAGAAAGCTCCTGTCCGAGAGAGGGACAGGAGGGAGACCCAAGCGGGTTGTCCCCTGCACAAGAACTTCTGATCACAACCAGAAATTGCTGCCTGTCTCTTGAAAAGGGAGGCAGGGGTCCTCCAAGTGCACACTGTCTGACCCCGAGCTTGTTCCGCATCACAGATCACGCAGGTGCATTCAGGTGTCTTTCCTATGTCAGGCTTATTGGCTCCCACTGTGTGCTTGCAACACGTGACTGCTTATACCTCCAGAGAGCTTGAATACGGGGCTGCACCAGTGATCGGGGCACGTGATAAATAATAACACTTTGCTCTTTATGCAAAAGCAGTGTTGCTCAGTTTTCAAAAATATATTTTTTCACCAGTGATGTCATTCCTTCCTTCCCCAGAAATGAAAGCCGAGCAAGAATTTCTTGCCTCAAGAATTCCTTTCTGCACAACCCTGCACTGCGGCTCTTACCCCCTGTGGGTAATCTCGCTCCCTCTTATTATTCACAATAGTCAAGAGCCACAGTTGCTGCGGGGGTCCTACCCAGCTGCTCAGACCTTACCTCAAGAACTCCTTTCTGCACAGCCTTGCAGAAGCCGTTTATAGATAGGAAAGCAAGATCAAAGGTGTCAAGTACCAGAGCCTCATGTGCAGGTCTCTGTCTTCCCTTCGCAAGCCCGTGTTCTTTGTATAATAAAAATAATACAGAATTTCAAAACAAGACGATAGGAAATTAATTATTATGTTGTATACTGTTATCTTCAGAGTAGTTGCTCAGAATACCAGATACAGGCATGCAAAATTGATTAGACAGTATGAGCAATAACTCTTCTTTTCAATGAAGTAATACAGGTTGGAATAATTAGCTAGCTGGTGTATGTACACAGATCTTTTCTTTTTTTCTCCCTTTTCTCTTTTCACCCATCCCAGTTGTTCTTTCCCTTTCACTATATCTGTTGTACCTTTTGGATCTTATTTGCTCTGCAGTTCCTGACACTAGGGAGACAGTGTGACATTTACACATGTGAGTCTGCTTTATTTTACTATGAGTATGGTCCCTAGTTACATCCAATTACTTATAAAAGCCTTGAGTTTATCTTTCTTTAAACTGAGCAATACTCAATTGCATAAAAGTACTTCCTCAGTTGATGGGCATTTAGGTTGTTTCCAAGATCTAGCTATTACAAATTGTTGTGCTATAAATATGGGTACACATGTATCACTGTGGTGTGATGTTTTCATTTCTTCCAAGAAAATACACAGGAGGGAAATAGCTGGATTAAATGGGACTTCAAGTCCTAGATTTTGAGGAATCTCCCACACTGATTTCCACAGTGGTTGTGCCAGTCTACCCTCCCACCAATGGTGCAGAAAGGTCCCTTTCTCCCCACAGCCCCACCAGCATTTGTTATTGCTTGACTGCTTGATAATAGCCTTTCTTTCTGGGATGAGATGGAATCTCACTGCTGTTTTAATTTGCATCTGTGTGGTACCTTTGTGTGTGTGTGTGTGTGTGTGTGTGTGTGTGTGTGTGTACGTACCAGGAATTGGTACAGAACCTTGTACTTGCCAGGCAGGTGCTGTGCTGCTAAGCTGTACCTCTGGCCCTGCATTTCTTGAATGACCAGTAATGTTGAATATTTTTTCATATAATTATTTGTCGTTTGTACTTCTTCATCTGTGAATTGTGTATTTGTTTCTGATAACCATGTTTTGCATTGGATCTGTATATTTTGGGGGCCTGATTTTTTTAAAACTTTGTGTATTCTAGAAAGAAGTCTTCATCTCAGAGAGAGCTGGTTAAATTTTTTTCCCAATTCATGGGTTTTCTTTTCACTCTGTTGGTGATTTCTTTTCATGTGCGAAAACTTTTTATTAAGAGATTCCAATTTTTTATTCTTTGAGTATTTCTGTATGGTTTTATTTTTTTGTCCATCCACTCTCTGCCTATCCCATATCTTCAAAATTTCTTTCTCCTCCAATAGATTTAGTGTTTTTGTTTTAATATTTAGATCTTTAATTCATTTTGACTTTAGGGCCTGGTAATAGCCATGAGTCTAATTTTAGCCTTTGGCATAAGGAAAGCCAGTTTTTTCAAGCACCATTTATGAGGTTTTCTTTCTTCCAGTGAACATGTTTGGCCCCTTTGTCAAAGATAACATGACAGTGTATTTGTAGTTATGTCTGCATCCTCTAGTCTGATCCACTGATCCTCAGGGGTCTACTTTTTTTGCCAATACCATGCCATTTTTATCACAGTAGCTTTGTAATATAATTTCAAGTGAGGGATTATGATGCTCCTTGTCTTCCCTTTGTTGGCCAGGATGTCTTTGCTGTTCTAGGTCTCTTCTGGTTTCAAATGAATTTTAGGAATGTCTTCCCTAGATCTGTGAGGAATGCTAATGGTATTTTGATCATGATTGCATAAATCTATATAACAGTTTTGGGAGTATGGCTATATTCACTATGTTGGTTCTTCCTATTCATGAGCAAGGGTTATTTTTTCATTTTCTGAAATCCTCTTCAATCTCTTTTCTCAGAATATTATAATTTTTAATATATAGATCTTTTACTTCCTTTGTTAGATTGATTCCTAACAAGGTTAGATTGATTCCTAACTTTCTTTTTTCTTTTCTTTTCTTTCTTTCTTTCTTTTTTTTTTTTTTTGATGCTATTGTAATAGGTGTTGTTTCCCTAATTTCTCTCTCAGTGGCTTTGTTTGTGTATAGGAAGACTATTGATATTTGAGCATTTACTTTGTATCCAGCTATGCTAATGAATTTGCTTATTAATTTTAGGTATCTTTTGTTGGATTTTTTCTATTTAGAGCATCATGTCATCTGCAAATAGTAATAATTTTACTTCTCCCTTTCCTATCTTTATTCCTTTTATTTCTCTCTTGTCTAATTGCTCTAGCTAATGTTTCCAGAACTATATTGAAAAGTAGTGGTGATTGTAGATATCCTTGTCTTGTTCTTGCCTTAGAGTGAAAGCTTTCATTTTTTGCCCATTTAGTATGATGTTGGCTGTTGTGTCAACATAGGTGACTTTTATCAGATTGAGATAGAGACCATCTATTCCTATTTTCTGTAGAACTTTTATCATGAATGAGTGTTGAACATTGTCAAAAGGTTTTTCGCTATCAATTGAGATGATCATGTGATTTTTGTCTTTGGCTCTGTTGATATGGTGTATTACACTTACTGATTTCCATATGTTGAACCATCCCTGCTTCCCTGAGATGAATCTTACTTGGTCATGGTGTGTTGCCTTTTTGATGATTTGCTGCATTTTTTTGACTAGTATCTTATTGAAGATTTTGTTTCTACGTTCATTATGGAGACTGGCTTGTAGTTCCCTTTTTTGGTTGGTTCTTTCTCTAGTGTCAGGATAACACTTGCCTCCATAAGTGAGTTAAGGAAAATTTCAATTTCATTGAAGAGTTCAAAGAGTATTGAAATTAATTACTCTAAATTTCTTGTAAAATTCAGCTGTGAATCCATCAGAACCTGGGCTTTTTGGGGGTAAGTTTTTAATTATGTTTCCAATTTCATTAACTGATATTGAGTTATTCAGAATTTTTATATCTTCTTAAGTTTTAGTAATTCATATGTATCTAGGAATCTGTCCATTTCTTCTGTGTTTCCCATCCTATGAGAGTTAAGATTTTTGAATTGGGTATTGATAATCTTCTGAATTTCCACAGGATCTGTAGTGACTTTACCCCTTTCAATAGTTATTGCACAAATTTGATTTTTTCTTTGATAAGGTTAGCTAGAGTCTTATCAATTTTATTTATTCTTTCGAAGAACCAACTCTTTGATTCATTAATTCTTTGTATTGCTTTCTTAATCTCCATTGTATTAACTTCTGCTTTGATTTTTATAGCTTCCTCCATTCTTTGGACTTTGGGCTTGAGTTGCTCTTCTTTTTGTAGAAGCTTGAAATGCATTAGGTTGTTTATTTGTGCTTGTTCTGTTTTCCTAATGTGAGAATTCATCACTATAATTATCCCTTTGAGGACGGTTTTCATTGTATCCAACAGGCGCTGGTAAATTGTATTTGCATTTTCATTTGACTATAGATATTGTTTAATTTCTTCTTTGATTTCATGTGACCCATTGGTTATTCAGCAGAATGTTATTTAATTTCCAATTTTTTATTATGTTGTTGCAGTTTCTTTTGTCATTAATTTCCAATTTCATTGCACTGTGGTCAGTTAATATGCATGGAATAATTTCCATTCCTTTGCTTTTACTTTAGCATATTTTATGTACTAATATAGGGTCTATTTTACAGTATGTCCCACATGCACTAAGAAGAATGTGTATTCTGATGTTCAGTGGAACATCTGTAAAGATCTAATAAGTCCATTTGCTCACAGGTTTGATTCAGTTCTATTATTTCTTTGCAGATTTTTTTGCCTTGATTAACTATCTCATTGTGGCAGTAGGTGTTAAAGTTCCCTATTACAACCGTGTTATTTCTTATTTGACTTTTTAAATGTCTTTTAGTATCTGTCTTACATAATTGAGTGCTCCCATATTTGATGTGTATATATTTATGATTGTTATCTCTTCCTGTCTTCCCCTAACAGGTATGTAGTGACCTTATCTCTTTTGATCATTCTTGGTTTGAAGTTCACTTTGCCTGAAAAGAGAATAACTACTACTACTTTTTCTGGGTTCCTTTAATGTTGAGTATTTCTTTCCATCTTTTGATTTTCAGTCTATGAGTTTCCTTTTGAATTAAATGTGTTTCTGTTATATAGCATATTGTTGGATTTTCTTTCTTCATCTAGTCTGATTCTTTTTTATTTTATTTTATTTTGACATCAGTTATTTTATTTTAAAGAAAAAAAATAAAAACAATGGTACAAAATCTCAAAACAAGATTTTAGGAGAGTAACAATGGTTAGTACATTGTGTATTATTACTGCCAAAGTAGTTTGTCATATTAGAAGATATAGGCAAGAAATAATAAGCAAACAACATAGGTACAAACCTCTAGTTTTTTTTAAAGTCAACAGAAAATGGAAATATACTTTTTAAAGCTTCTAATACGATAAGATATCATACAATGTCTTTTAAATAAATTGTAAGTCAAAGATACAGTATAAATCTTAGAACAAAAATTAAGATTAAGCAATATTCAGAAAGTTAAATGTTTCCAAACAATTGAACTCAGAAAAAGTTTTCATGATAGCAAAGAAGTACTAAGAGTAAAACATAAGATAAATACTGGAATGGCAAGTAAATGACCAGCACTTCTAACAGTTTGAGGATAGGATATCGCACAAAGTTCTAGTGTGTTGTGGACATGCATAATGACCGTGACAGTTACTGGTGGCTAGGTGTCACTTGTGGAACTGAGCTACAGCTATTTCTTTGAAATCCACCCTTTATAGTCTGCTTCTTTTGATTGGTGATTTGAGGCTATTTACATTAATGGTTATAAATGATATGTATTGGCTTATCTTTCTCATGTTATTTTCCTGGTGTAGGTTCCCTACTTTTCACTTCTGTTTAATTGCTTACCAGGCTTGGTGGTTCTTTCTGTTGTGTTTTGGAATTGTGGTCATTTTTTTTTATCTCATATAGAATATTTTTCAATACTCTTTGTAGAGATAGTTTGGTGTTTATGACTTTCTTCAGTTGCTTTTTGTCAGGGAAGTATCTTATTTCTCCATTAAATTTGATAGTCTTACAGGGTAGATCAATCTGGGTTGGAAGTTGTTTACTTTCAGGACCTGACATGCTTCACTTCAAGCACTTCCTGATTTGATAGTTCGTGTTGAGAAGTCTACCATGATTCTGATGGTCTTTCCTTTATAGGTGAGTTGGTTCTTTTCTCTAACAGCTTTTAATATTCTATTTTTATGCTCCATTTCTGGAATCTTGATTATTATGTTTGGGTGCGGATTTATTATGATTATGGCTAACTGGAGTTCTATATGCCTCACTGTGTGTCAGGTTCTTTTCTCATGCTTGGGAAATTTTCTGCTATTACTTTTACAAGCAATCTTTTTGTCGTTTGTATTGACTTGTGCTTTTTAGTTGAAACTTATCAGTCTTATGTTATTTTTCTTTGTGTCATCTTGCAGCAGTTGAATTGTTATTTCCTGGTTCCTTGTTAGTTTTAAGAGATTTTTCCTTTCATGGTTGCTAGATGCAATGCTGTCTTTGAGGTCTGAAAGCCTATCTTCAGTTTTGTTCAAGTGGTTTTGCCAGCTTTTAATGGAATTTTTACTTTCCTTGATGTCTCTTTGAGTCTGTTTCATGCATGTTATATGGTTCATTCAAGGTTTCCTTCATTTCTTTATGCTCCTCTATTTTTTTAATCTATGTCTTCTTTAGACATGCTCAGCAATTCTTTCATTATGTTATCATTTCTTTTTTTTAACCTGAGTGATTATTTCTGATCTGATTTCCTCTATAGCCTCCTGGAATTATTTGTTTACTTCAGTTGCTATCATTTCAGAATTTCAGGTGTGTGACTTCCAATTTCTTCTATGTTGATGTCTCCTGGACTTGTTTTGGCTGGTTGGAAGTCTGAGATTACATTTTGCAGCTTCTTCTTGATATTTTCTATTTCCAAAAGAAATTTTTATTTTGTTGCTGTGATACTCCTTGTGAATTTTGATAGTAGATAGCTTTATTGCTAATGTCAAAACCTCTCAGGAAAAGTTTGTGCTTCAGGGATATCTTCTTTATGTATTGGAGATTCTTGGTTTGTGTCTGTCCCATGATCCTGTGTTCTCGATTAATTAAGGGTGAGATGTTGGTTTCTGTTTGGCTGTGTTCTCCATCTTTGGGTGTAGCATTGTGGTGAAGTTATTCCCCCAGAGCTTCCCAATTTTGCCACCCAAGGGAGAACAAGTGGTTATAATAGATTAGACATCCTAGGTACAGTAGTACAATTAGCAATAATGACAGCATCAAGCAAAGTTTAGAAATTGACAAACTGTAGTAACTGTTGAGCTTGTAATTAGACCATAGGATCAAAGTCTATTTTTATATAACAGAACCAATCATAAATTAGGAGTCTGTATGCAGGATGTTTGCTTTTGTTAGAGTAGATTTACCCTGAGTTCTTCTGGCTAAGGCAGTTGTCAAGTCCCGGGAGCTTCCTGTGCTGGCTGCCCTTCCCACGGTGTAGGGGAATTGCCCACGTTCCTCTTTGGTCATGATCCTTTCCTACACCTCTGGCCCTCTCCACCACCACACTCACTCTTAATTTCTCTGAAAGAGAAACCCAGTTACACAGTCAGCGCTTGACTTTCATTCCATCAATATCTTTGGATGTGTAGAAATATTAAAATAGAAAGGAAAGTAGGACAGGTACCTGACAGAAACAGCCTTTTTCCTTCTACATTAGGACCTTAAGTATTGTTTTTCCAGAAATTGCTGTTATTCTATAGATTTATTGTGTGTCATTCCACAGAGGCATACAGCTAGGCAAATTAAAAAAAATTCTTAACCTACACCCTGGATCCTTGCTCAAATCTAAGGAAAGACTGGGGCAGAATAGTATGTGGTTCAGTGTAGGCCTTGTGTTATAGCACTGTGCAGTGGGGGCAAACCTACAGTACATGTGGGATTGTATCCCTGGGCTAGGATCTATGGTAGCAGGGACCAAGTGAAGGCACTGGACAAATAGGGAAAGAGGACACATCAGAGAAGGAGCTGTTAGCAGAAGGAGCGGGGCCTCTGTCTTTGCATGACTACCTCGCTGTCCAAAGAGGACTGTCGTTCATCATGGTCATCTGTGACAATGGAAAGAAGGTCGCAACTGAAGACGGAGGAAAGAATCTTTGGGCTTCCTCTGTAGCTGCAGTGTGAATTCATGGTGTGTGGAATCCTGAGTGGGCATGGAGGATTTGCAGAGAGGCTGGCTCAGTGGGCAAGTGTTTGTCAGTATTTGGCCTTTTATTGAGTACCAATCATTTGGCCATCCTCAGTGAAGCTTCTGTACTCCACACCATGGAATGTTCTGAGTAAGTAGACACGTTAACAGGAGAAGTCTCTTTTCTTTCTGTTGTGATTTTCATTGGCTTAAGTATCTTTATGTCCCTTCCAAATGGCACCAAAATATTTACTGACCCCTTACTTTGACTGGCATTTATAGCTGTGAGTCAGCAAAAAGGTGGCTATTCAGTCTCCCCTCTCTTTTTTTCTGACAGTGGGAGAAGCACCCATAGGGAATCCAGAAGGAGCCTTCATGAAGGTGTTACAAGCCCGGAAGAGGAGCACCAGCACTGAGCTGACTATTGAGCCTGAAATGTCATCTTCAGAGAAAAGTGGTGCTGACTTGTCAGGCTTTATGAAACAGCAGCTAGATATCAGTGGTGAAAGTGATTTTGTCACTGCACTAAGTCACATATTGCCAAACTTTCCAAAGGGAAATCTAGAGAGTGTAGAATCCACATTATTACCTTTCATTCAGCTGCTTTTTGCAAATAAACAAGATGGAGATGATTCCCTCAGTTATTTGAAAAACGATACAAGAGTCTCCTCTTTTCAACCTGCATCAAACAATTCAACTTTCAAAGATAAACTGAATAAGCTGTATTTTCTACAAAATCTGTTAAATGCAGAAATTCAGGAAACAGTAGAGGAGGTGAAAAAGAAAGAGAAAACTGCCATGCTTACACAGTCTAACCCTTTAAGTCCCAAATTCAGGCAGCAAATCTTTGCCAAGAAACTGGAGAGTGCTCAAGCACAGGGAAACAGTCTGGCAGAGCTGGAGGGTGGGAGGAAAATGCTTCACAGAGTGAAGACCATCCTCAAGGGGCTAGAGCATGCACAAAAAAGTCTTTTCAAGGAAAGGGGGAAACAGAAAGTCAGAGTGAAATGGGGTGGCCAGCCATTCTTGGGGGATATCACCAAGGAGAGAAGCCTAAGGAGACCCATCCCATGGGAGCTGGGACAGCATCAGAGGATGCCAAGGCCCAGGAAGTTGGTGGGAAACTCCTTCCACATAGAGCCCTCTTTCCACACAGAGGAACAGGAGGCAACAGTCTCTTCTTTCCTAAAACATCACTCCTTGGGCAGATCTCCCTCATCCATCCCTGCCAAAGCAACACCTGATGTGAGAAAGAGTGTAAATGCCTTCACCTCTAACATCTTGGCTTTAGAAAATGCAAATGCTAGAGTTAAAACCAAAGAGGGCACCAAACCAATCTTATATCCTGCAAAAATTCACCATTTTCATGAAACCCACTCTCTTGTGGCCTATGGAACACCCACGGCCAAGCTGAGTGAAAAGCTGAAAAATGAAAACACACAGAGAAGTCTACTACTTGCAAAGGGCCCTCCATTCTCAGCAGTGAGGAGCTTCATCAGTTCCCCTTCAGGAGGGTTATTCTCTTCCTCACGGGACCTCAATTTTCAGCAAACTCCTGTGGTAGAAATATATACTCCTTCAGAACTTCCTGTAGAAAGCACTCCTGTAGAAAATGATACTGCTTCAGGTACTTTCGAAGGGGCAGATTTTGCATTAGACATTAGTGTTCCAGAAGAAACCGTCCCCCAAAACACAAGTCAGAAGAACCCTTCTGCTGTAGGCTCTGCCGTGGCTGCATTTGGCCCGATGCCGGCTGTGCACCAGACCTTGGAGGCCCAATGGGAGCAGCCCAACACCAGCACTGACTCGCCCCCCAATGACTTCACCTCCACATCGCTGTCTTCCCCTCGTGATCAGTTTGAAACTCACCTAAACCAACAACTCTGGCCCCTCATCCCCAATAATGACATAAGAAAGCTGATTTCCCGGGTTATCAGGAGCTTAAAAATGGACTGCTCTGAGACCCACGTGCAGCTGGCCTGTGCCAAGCTCATCTCCAGGACGGGGCTGCTCATGAAGCTGCTCAGTGAGCAGCAGAAAGTCAAGGTGTCCAAGGCCCAGTGGGATGCGGAGCGCTGGAAAAGTGAGAACTACATCAATGAGAGCACAGAGGAGCAGAGTGAACAGGAGCAGGAGTCAAGGGAGGTGAGGACAACTACTCAACATGAGGGTCTGCCGTGAAGCACCCTGGCATATCACAGATACAAAATGGACATTCATCTGTATCCCCTTTTTTTGTTTAGTTCTGTTATTTGAATGTTATAGGTGTGTTAACTCAGCAAAATATTCTAAAAGAGTCCAGTAGTCCATAATAGACCAGGGCCTCCTAGTCTGCATTTTGTCTTGGCCAACATACCTTTGACCAGGACAGTGACCTCCATCCTTCTCCTTGAGAGAATGAAGAAGACTTGACATAGAAGATAAACAAACTAGAAAAGGACATGCGTGATAATATTTGTGTCATATTTCCTTTGGTATGTTTTTAACAATCTGAAAATATTCATTTTTTAAAATTTTTTTTCCATAATTTTATTGAGAATGAACTAACAATGAGACAGTTTCAAACCAAATTGGTAGGACAGTTTCAATAATTAACACATTGCATACATTCTTCCTAGTGGTTAATTGCTGGACAAGATGCAGATATGATATTCTATTTACAAACACTATTAGAACAAATCCCTCTATTCATTAAGAGAATGCAACTATAGATCTATCCTAACCATTTTGAATACACAGATACAAAATGGACATTCATCTGTTCCCCTTTTTTTGTTTAGTTCTGTTATTTGAATGTTATAGGTGTGTTAACTCAGCAAAATATTCTAAAAGAGTCCAGTAGTCCATAATAGTATTGGGTCTTCCGCTTGACTGGCAATGTCAGAAATTGTTGACCTGAGTCCCCTACAGCTCAACATAACAGCATGGCTTTACTTCTTATACTTCGCTTTTATACTTTTCTGCTGGATGGTCAAGACCAAGGTAAAGCAGGACCTATGCAACAAGAGTTGTAGCTTTTGGGTCTGATAAGGTCAGTGAAATCCCCTCAGGATTTATCCTGAGATTCTGTACCTCAGATTGTAGAACCTTTGTCAGTGGCAGCCATGTGGATGAGTCACGGCCATTGCTTGGCCAATATGCTCTCTGTGAAAACCTGAGAGAATGTTTCCTCTCCATGTGACTCTCGTTAGGCACACTCTACATCACTGATCACTTTCCTCTTTGGCCCCATAATCTCCTTGATCAGAAAATTTGGGACACTACCGAGTTATATGACATTACAGTACAAGTTCTCATATATCCTGAATCTTAATTGACCTTGGAAGGCTAGGGCCAAAATGTTGGCTTTCCTTGTGGCCCTCCTTTTTCTCTAATTTTGGTGTGCAAAGTTAGGTTGCTAACCCTCCAGAAGAGAAGCTTATTGTTATTACCATACAACCTAGGCTGTCAAGCTTAACCTCACTACCTGTCTGAATATCAAACATCTTAGGCATAGCATGGAACAGGTATTTTTCATCAAGTATTGATATGTTGAACTTTAAGTCCCTACAGACTATGATGAAAAAACATTTAAAAATTAGAATGTATTTTAAAAATAGGCATAACAAATTATATAAACATAAGAATTATACAATTTGTTATGCCTATTTTTAAAATATTCATTTGTAAGAGTTAGATTTGAATAGAAGATTTCATCCTTTCCATGTGTGATACTGAACAAACATTTCTGTCTCTCCCTCTCCTCCCCACTCCTTCGCCCTCCCTCCCTCCCTCCCTCCTTCTCTTCCTCCCTCCCTCCCTCCCTGTCTCTCCCTCCCTCCCATCTTTCCTCTCCCTCTTTCTCTTCCTCTCTCTCTCCCTCAGTTCACAGTAGAAGTTCCAGGATATGGCTATAAAAACAAACTGATCCTGACATTATCTGTGACGGGAGTAGCATTGATTTCAATGATAATTTTCTGTCTTGTTGAGGTAAGGATAACAATTAGTTCAGATTAACTGAACAAGGGTAGAAAGCTTTTCTTTTATTAAAGATAGGAAAAGAAACATGCTATCCATAGAAAGTGTTGGCTAGTTAAAAGGAAAAGAAGTACACTCTACAGAGTGAGGGCGACTACTGTGAAGACACACCAAGGCCCTGTGGAAAATGCCTGCTGTCTTATGTAACCGTAGCCAGGCTGATGTCCATTCTAGGCCATCCCATCAAAATCTGCTTGACTTCTTAGGAAAAGAACTGAAGATAGCACTCTCTGATTGGTTCGCAGTGTAGCGTACATGTATCCTGGAACTCTATGATTGATAGGTCATACCGACTTCCCCAGCCAGCTTGCCACACCCCAATCTCCTGCTTCATTTACCCTGAGAGACAGAAATCTGCCCAATTCTTTACGGGGTGTGGTGGGAGTGGAGGGTTCACATAGCTACTTCCTGCTGAGAAGGGTTGTAGGTCCTTCCTACTGGGGCTTATGTTCTCTCCAACTACTTTAAGATGTTATGGATCACTGAATGGGTTTAATTAATGAAAACCTGGCACAAGACAGTAAGAAAGGAGTTAGTAGAAAGGACTGTTGAAGTAGCTGTTTTATGGATGAGAGCCTGGTGGATTTGTCCATTTGTTACTAGCTTGGGGATATCGAGCACAAATACAGGAAGGACCAAGTCAGATTCCCATGCTTCCTATGAAGGAGAATGTATGACAAAGAGGGATGTTAGATAAAATAGCAAGAGCCTGAGAGCCGTAGGCTTAACACACTACGGAAATAAAGTCAGGAGTCTCAGTACGGGGGTCTGAGCTCTGATGAGTTAGGATCATCAGTGACTCTGCGTACATACACCAAGAGCAGTATCTTGCTCTTTGAAGAGGAGCCTCAGGTCTTCCAGAGGTTCACAAGAATAGCTTTCTTTTTTGGGTGGTCTTTCTTTTTTTTCTTGCTTAAGTTTTATTTAAAAGAAAAATGAAAATTCCAAAACAATATACTGGGATGGTAACCATGGTTAATATATTGCGGGTTGTTATATTTAAATTAGTCACTCACTATAAGATATCAGCATTTAATTATTCAAATATTAGCACAAACCTTACTTTTCATTGAACTAAGAGAATAATATAACCATTTTAACTATCATATATATATATATTTTTTTCTTTTGTTTCTTCACACTAGGGAGACAATATGATGTTTAGTTTATTTCACTTATGAGTATGGTCTCGAGTTGCATCATTTACCTATGAAAGTCTCCAATTTATCCTTCTTTATGGATGAATAATGCTCCATTATATAAAAAGACTGCATCTTTTCATCCATTCCTCAGCAGATGAGCATTTGGGTTGTTTCCAATATCTAGCTATTACAAGTTGTGCTGCTCTGAACATAGGTACACGTATATTACTGTGGTATGATGTTTTTTATTCTTCTGGGATGATATTCAGAAGGGGAATAGCTGGGTCAAATGGCACCTCCATTCCTAGCTTTCCGAGGAATCTCCACACTGATTTCCACAGTGCTTGTACCAATCTACACTGCCACCAACAATGGAGAAGGGTTACATTTTCCCCACAGCTCCATCAGCAATTGTCATTTGTTGATTTCTTGATAATGTCCATTCTTTCTGGGTTGAGGTAACATTTCAGTGCTTTAATTTGTCTCTCTCAAATGACTAGTGATGTTGAATGTATTTTTCATATATCTATTTGCCATTTGTATTTCTTCATCTGTGAATTATGTATTCATATCTGATGCCCATTTTCGGATTGGGTCTTTAACTTTGGGAAGTCTGATTTTTTTTTTTTTTGAGTTCTCTCTATATTCTCGATAATAATCTGTTTCGTGAACATCCAGCAAACATATTTTTCCCACATTGTGTGTTGTCCCTTCACTCTGTTGGTGGTTTCTCTTGCTGTGCAAAAGGTTTTTAATAAGATGAGATCCCAGTTGATGTTTCTTTATGATAGTTCCTGTGCAATTGGGGTTTTACTCATTAGCTACACCAGTGTCTTCGAGGGTTTTACCTATTCTATCTTCCATTACATTTAATGCTTCTGTCTTCATCTTTGGATTTTTGATCCATTTTAATTTTAGTTTAGTGCATGGTAAAAGTTATGGGTCCAATTTTAATCTTCAGCATGTACAGAGGCAGTTTTGCCAGCAGCATATATTAAAGAGGCCTTCTTCTAGTGTCTGTGTTTGACATCTTTGTCAAATACAAGTTTGCCGACTATATCTATCGTTGTTTCTGCATCTCATAGTCTCTCCATTGATGTTTGGATCTTTTCTTTTTTTTATTTTTATTTGCCAGTGCCATGCTGGATTTTTGTTTGTTTGTTTTTAACCACCATAGCTTTAGAATATAACAGATCCCTGCCTGCCTTTGTTGCTCAGAATTGCCTTGCTCTTTTAGGTCTCTTCTGGTTCCAAATGAATTTTAGGATTGTTTTCTCCAATTCTGTGAGATGTGCTATGGAATGTTGATTGGAATTGCATTAAATCTGTATAAGTTTTACAAGTATAATTTTCACTGTATTGATTCTTCCTATACAAGAGCAAATAATGTCTTTCTATTTTCTGATACCTGCTTAAACTTCCTTTATTCAGAGTACTATAGATTTCAATGTAGAGGTCTTTTCATCCTTCATTGGACTGACTCCTAGGTATTTCATTTTTTCGGATGCTATTGTGAAAGGTATTATTTCCTTAATTTCTCTCTCAGTGAGTTTGTTGTTTGTGTATAGGAAGGCTATTGACTTTTGAGTGTTAATTTTGTATCCACCTATTTCACTGAATTTGCTTATTAAATCTAGCAGTTTTTTTAGTGGAGTTATTAGGGTCCCTTATGTAGAGTATCATGCTATCTGCAAATAATGATAATTTTACTTTTTCCTTTCCTATCATTCCTTTTATTTCTTTCTCTTGTCTTATTTTTCTGGCTAAAGTTTGAGGACTGTGTTGAATAAGTGTAGAGACAGTGAACATCCTTGTCTTGTTCCTTCTTTTAAAGTGAAAGCTTTCAGTTTTTGTCCATTTAGTATGATGTTGGCTGTTGATTTATCATAGAAGGCTTTTGTTAGATTGCGATACAGACCATCTTGTCTGATTTTCTCTAGGGTTTCAATCATGAGCGGGTTCTGGACTTTGTCAAAAGCTTTTTATCTATCTTTTGAGATGATTACATGATTTGGTTCTTAGCTCTGTTAATATAGTGTACTAAATTTATTGATTTATATATATTGAACCATCCCTGCATTCCTGGAATAAATCCCACTTGATCATGGTGTAGAATCTTGATGATTTGATGCATCCTGTTTGCCAGTATCTTATTGAAGATTTTTGCATCTATGTTCATTAGGGAGATTTTCTTTCTTAGTTGTACCCTTCTCTGGCTTTGATATCAGGGTGATGCCTCCTTTCAAGAATGAATTTGGGGATATTTCTTCTCTTTCCATTTAATTAAAGAGTTTGAGAAGTGTTGGTCTTCTCTAAACTTCTTGTAGAATTCAGCAGTGCCTCCATCAGTGCTTGGGCTTTTTTTGTTGGTAGGTTTTTCATTACATATTTGATTTAATTGATTGATATTGATTTTTTTAGGATTTTTATGTTTTCTTGATTCAGCTTTGGTAACTTATATGTATTTAGGAATGTATCTATTTTTTCTGCATTTTCCATCTTATAAGAATACAAATTTTCAAAGTAGGTATAAATGATCTTCTGGGTTTTTGAAGGATCAGTTATGACTTCACCCTTTTCATTCCTAATTGCATAAATTTGAGTATTTTCTTTCGTTTTTTATTTTGTGATAAGATTGGCTAAGCTTCGTAGATTTTACTTTATCTTTCAAAGAACCAACTCTTTGATATATTGATTCTTTATTTTTAGTTTCCAATGTATTAATTTCTGCTCAGATCTTTATAATTTCTTCCCTGATATAAACATTTGGCTTAGTCTTCTCTCTTTTTCTTTTTCTAGAGGTTTGAGGTTCAACATTAAGTTGTTTATTTGTGCTTGTTTTGTTTTCCTGATATGAGTATTCACTGCTATAAATTTCCCACTTAGGGCTTTTTTCATGGTGTCCCATGACTTGTGATATATTGTATTGTCACTATCATTTAATTGTAGAAACTGTCTGATTTCTTTTTTACAGTCTGTAACTCATTGGTTGTTCAGGAGAGTGGTATTTAATTTCCATATATTTATGAAGTTCTTGTAGTTTGTTTTGTCGTTGATTTCCAACTTCATTGTCCTATGATCTGATAATATGCATGGATTACTTTAGTTTCTTTGCATTTACTTAATATTACATGGGCTAGTATGTGGTGTATTTTTGAGAATATCTTGTGTGCAGCTGAGAGAGCGTATATTTTGATGTTGTGGGGTAGAACACTTTGTAGACATATGCTAAATCTATTTGTTCAAAAGTTTGGTTCAGTTCTATTATTTCATTGTTTGATTTTTGTCTAGTTGATCTTTTTGTGACAGTAGGGTGTTAAAATCCCCCAGTACAATTGGATTAGTGCTTATTTGATTTTTTTTTATGCACATTAGTAGTTGTTTTATATAGTTGGGTGTACTGGTATTTGTTGCATATAAAGTTGTTACATCTTCCTATTGGGTTATTCCTTTTGCAAAGATGTAGTGATCTTATTTATCTCTCTTAATTTATCTTGGCCTGAAATTCACTTTATCTGCAAATAGAATTGCTACTCTTGCTTTTTTCTAGGTTCTTGTCACACTGAGTATTGTTTTCCATCCTTTGACTTAAAAAAAAAAACAAAACAACTATTTATAGGGCTGGCCAACTAGCTCAGCAGATTAAAGTGCCCACAAGCAGGCACAGAGGCTGGGGGCTTGATCCCCAGGCCTGCCATGCTGGCCCTGACCCCAGGGCACACTGAGATGGCAATTGAGATTGGGCATGGTGGCACACTCCTGTAATCCTAGCTCTTGGGAGGCTGTAAACAGGTGGATCACTATGAGTCTGATCTAGTAGTGAGACCCTGAACACCCTGTAGACCCTTCCCTAAAAAAACAATTAAAAATATATATACTTATGTATTTTGTACAGAGTCTCAATGTGCAGCTCAGACTTGTAATAATCCTCCTGTTTTCAGCATCCCCAGTACTGGTATTACAGGTGCACGCCACCACACCCAGACTCAGTTCCTGGCTCAGTGTGCCCAGGGGCAGGGCTGGCATGGCATGTGTTTTGGGGGAATTGAACCCCAGTCCCTGCACTTGCCTAAGCAGGTGATTAGTCCACTGAGCTATCTTTCTGGCACTTATCCTTTGACTTTCAGTTTATGAATTTCTTTTTTAATTAAATGTGTTTCTTGTATGCAGTGTATTATTGGATCATGCTTTTTTCTTTTCTTTTTTTTGGCAGAACCGGGGATTGAACTCCGATCCTTATGCTTGCCAGGGAGGCGCTTATTCTACTGAGCCATCTCCCTGGCCCTGGATCATGCTTTTTGAGCCATTCTGCTAGTCTGTGGCTACTGACATTGGCCACTGAATTGAGGCCGCTGACATTGATGATTGCAACTGATATGTACTGACTTATCCTTGTCATATATTTTCCTGTTGTTGGCTCCCCTCGTTTTTTCTCCTTATTCTGCCTTTTGCCTTGCCTGGTGGATTCCTTCTGTGTAGGTTTATGAGGTTATAGTCCTTGTTATCTTTTTCTGTAATGTCATTTAAAACATTTTTGAGTGGTGGTTTGGTGCTTGTAAATTTCTTCAGCTCTTCTTTGTCATAGAAATTTCATTTCTCCATTGGTTTTGAAAGATAGTTTCCTGGGGTACATCAGAGGTGAAGATTGTTTTACTTTAGAGCTTGAAGTACTTCACTCAAGCTCTCCTTGACTTGAGGGTTTGTGCTGAGAAATCAGTTGTGACTCTGATGGGCTTTCCTGTATAGCTGATTTGTTTCTTTTGCCTAACATCTTTTAATATGCTATTCTTGTGTTGAATTTCTGGACTTTTGACTATACTATGCCTGGCTCTAGATTTTCTTTTTGTTCATGACTTATTGGAGTTCTATATGCCCAGTTTTCTGTATGTCAAATTATTTTTCTCTACCAGGGAAGTTCTCTACTATGACATCTGTGAACAGCTTTTTTAAAATATCATTTGTACCATCTCCTGCTCTTTTCATTGACTTCAGTCAATCTTAAGTTATTCTTCTTCGCAAAATCTAGCAACTGCTGTATTGATTTCTCATGGTCTCTCTCTCTCTCTCTCTCTCTCTCTCTCTCTCTCTCTCTCTCTTTTTTCATATGTATTTGGTACAGTGTCTCACTACACAGCTCAGGCTCGTAGTCGTCCTCCTGTTTCCAGCCTCCCCAGCACTGGGATTACAGGCATGCACCACCGTGGCCAGAACCCTTCACTGGTTCAGCGTGCCCTGGGGGCAGGGCAGGCATGGCATGCAGGACCAGGGATCGAACCCTGGTCTCTGTGCTTGGCAAAGCAGGCACTTAGTCCACTGAGCCATCTCACTGGCCCTATGGTCTCTATTTTTAAGAAATCTTTCATTTCATGATCACTAACTAAACCTGCCTTCTATATCTGAGGTTGTGTCCTTACATTGGCTTATTGTGCTGCAAATACTTCTGATGGAATTTTTATTTTCCTGGCTATCTGATTGATTTGGCCTTGTGGATTCCATTTCTTTTCTATGCTGAGATTAAATAATTTTCTTAAGGTCCTTTCTTTTCTTTTCTTTTTTTTTTTTTGGTCTGCATCTGCTGTAGAATCATTAAGCATGTATTCACTGTGGACACCATTTCTGCAGTTATCTGAGAAATTATTTCTGATTTTATTGTTTTGTAGAGCCTCATTCAGTTGCTTGTTGTTA